TATCTATATTTATCTACTTATTATTACTTATTGCATATATATATATATATATATATATATATATTATGATGTCCATGGATTTGTACGATGAGAATCAGATCATGATGAGATCACGATAATGAGACCGATTCACCTTTAAACATATATCCTAAATAATTCTAGTCATATGTTACTCAAGAGGGACATCGAAATAACTGGACAGACTAGTGTGCTATATACTTGTCCATATAATGGAGGTAATGGTCCCATAGCTGCTCGTGTAGGGATACTAAGAATATAGTGTATGTGCTAATTGGAGAATGAGTTCACTGATTGATCTGCTCACGGAATACTAGATGGTTAATGATTTTTTATTGTCAGACAATGATTTTGTCATCATCAGAAGTGTTATGAGGAGGTTCCAGTTTATTAGAGAGATCATGGCCTAAGGAGATGTAGCAGTGGAAAGAGTTTCATCTGAAGATAACATCATAGATCCACTAACAAAACTATTGTTTTATATTGCATTTGAGTATCACAAGGGTCTGATGGAGATTAGACACGCATGTGAATGTCTTTAGGTCAAGTGAGAGATTGCTAGTCATAGGTGCCATACAAGCCAATCACGTCAGTGATGACACGTGTGACTTGATATGCAGTCTTTTTGCTTATTATATTTTGACATTTATCACTTTATATTATTTGTTGCATATATATTATGATGTCCTTGGATCTGTGTAATGAGAATCAGATCATGATGAGATTACGATAATGAGACCGATTCGTATTTAAACACAGATCTTAAATAATCTCGATCATAGGTTACTCGAGAGGGACATAGAGATAATCGGACAGACTAGTGTGTTATATACTCATCCATATGATGGATGCAGCTGGTCTTATAGCTGCTCATGTGGGGACACTAGGGATACAATACATGTGCTTATTGGGGAATGAGTTCATTGATTGATCTGCTTACGGAATGCTGAATGGTTGATGATGTCTTATTATGAAATAGCGATTCCGTAGTCCTAGTGGTGTATATGGTTGTTAGACTTGAGACACCAAGGATGTCTTGTATGAGTGCTTTACTCTTTGATACCAGACTTATAGGTTTGGATGTCTCAGATCTAACATAGCCGATCATCGGGAGTGATAGTCAACCTTACGAGGGCTATTGAGTATCGATAGAGGATCATCCATTCTCGATGTCATGAGAGGAATGTCTCATGTGTTCTTTCTTAGACAAATCCCTAGCTAGGGTCATTCGGATTGAGAGAGAAAGAGTTCTCCGAGAGAGTTCAATTAGAGCGAGATTCGATTAGAAATCGTATGGGTCTGACAACACCATGCCCAGTATACAGTCTCTGGGATATTAGATAAATAAGGGACTATAGGTACACGGTAACTGAGGACAGATAGGTCTAATGGATTGAATTCTCTTATATAGTCTGGGGACTGCGACGTAGTGGCCTAGTACATCAGTAGTCGAAGAGTCAGTGAATTATTATGAAGATTATAATTCATTGAGTTAGAAGGAGTTCTGATAGGTATGACTCATGACCAGCTCGATATTGGGCCTAGAGGGTCACACATATATGATAGGCATTGCGATGAGTAGAGGTTCGAATATGAGATATCCGTTGGAGCCTCTATCTTATTAGATATCCAATAAACCTTTGAATTATTGGATCCTATGGATGATCCAATAAGAGCCCATAAGAGATTATTGGATAGAGATCCACTAATCTAAGATGCTTGGGTAATTGTATAAATATCCAATACCCAAGATTCATTAGGGTTAAGTTGATAGGGGACCTATATAAATAGGAGAGAACTAGTGATTCATAGGCTAGAGCCTTTTGCTTCCTCTCATATTCTCCTCTCCTCTCTACCTTAGAGCTAACCTGAAGTTTTGAGGAGCGTCATTCACTCTCTCCTAGAAATATGTAGGGATTCAGGGATACACGATCTCCCTAGGTAACATAATCTATCTCACACGTGGTTTTCTGTTTTACGGATTTTTACGCACCAATCTTCGCACGACGACAAACATATCTTTGGGAATTGGGGATTTTGTTTTCTGTTCTTACGCTGCACATGTGATGTCGCCTCCAAGATTTTCAAACAAAAATATTATGCTCCCAAGGTGAAAGTATTATGCTATTAAGATGGAAGAATTACACTCTCGAGATGCCACATGCATAATAACCGAAGTTGGAGGAGGTTTTTCGACTCGGTTTCTTCATCGCTCAAGTTAGTAATATGAGATCTCTAATTGTAGGCTCATGTGATTCAATAAAGGAGAGAGTTCCTTTTTCATTTTCTTATTTAGGATGGATTTTTATACCTTGAAAAAAAGAAAGAAAGTTTGAGATAATCTTATTTTATTATAAAGGAAGAGAATGAGGTTTAGATTTATCTTCCTCATCTTAAAAAGGAGTTAAGAGAAGAAAATTTATGATTGATTTTGTTACTATAATCAATGATAAGAAAACTTATATATATTTTTTATTTTAAATCTTTATACATGTAGATGGATAGAATATGACTTGAATCTTGCATGATAATCGCATGTCATCTAACACTAATTTTTTTATTAATTTATAATTTTTAAAATTAAATTATTGATGAATTAATTCGAATCAAAATAATTTAAATTAATTTACTTTTAACTTATTAGTTCAATTTTTATAATTCGATTACAACACTCCTACCTACAAGTCGCATCCGACTGTGCACATCCAGTCCTGCCTCCGCTCTCATGTGCAGGAAAAGGAGCAAAACTTCAACGGATTAGTGCTCCCAAACCATCCATTGAAGTCTGTGCCAACGCGTTACCTTTACGCTTTTAATGCGCTGCCAAGTTTGTCCGCAGGAAAGGCGAGACAGTGCGGAGCAAGGCGACGAGAACGCAGGGAAAGAGAAGGCCGTGAGGCCGTAAGGATGCCAAGCGAAGGCATCATCATGCCCTAAAGCGCCTCGGCTTTGGTGGGCGTGCCTTGCCGCACTAAGATTCCTGGCGCATGAATTCCAGTACGTACTCTTCTCCTTCGTTAACACACAAACACACACGTACTCTTCTGCTTTGAACACACAGAAAAGTTGGGAACAATTAACTCGTACTGTCATATTCCCCTTTTCCATCCTTGCTGTGTAAAGTTAGCCCAAAAGCCACTTTGATGAGCTCTCTCTCTCTTTGTTTTTTTTTTGGGTGCTCCTTGTAAAGAAGTATAATCTGTGGGCCACCTGTGAGGAAGTAAAGGAAAAAGAATTTTTATTTTTTAATATTTGACAAAATAAATAACGAATGATTTTTATGAAAATAATACTTCTAATATTATTTAAAGATATTTTTATTTTATTATTTTATTATTTTTTTATACTCTAAATATCTTTTGTTACAATAACGATAGTAAAAAGGATGATTATATAATCGAAATGATAGGATGAAGATAACGAGATTTTATGGAAGGAAAGAAACTGATGATATTATAACAAAAAGATAAAAGTGACAAAAGACGATGAGATGAAGATAATCACAACGAGACATAAAATAATAAAGTAAAAGTAGAACAAATTTGAGACAACAACGAATAATATTAACTCAGAGAAGGTGATGACCATGATGAAGGATATTTAGTGTATTAAAGAAAAAAAAAACAAATAAGAAAAAAATTATTATTTATATTTTTTTTACTATTTATAATTATATTTTAAATTTTTTAATATTTCTAGACTATCCCTTTGTAAATAAATAAAAATATCATCTTCTTCCTAAGAGGCGTGTCGACAAAAAATGTGAGGTTATGAGAAAAAAAAAAAATAATATCGAGAATATAAATAATAAATTTATATATTATTATTATTTTTAAAATATTATCAATAGCAAGAGGGTTATCAATAGTTCAAAAAAGCTATGCTCTATGAGCTATTATCTGATAAATATTTTACAGGATAAATTGTTACTATTAGGAAAATATATCTTAATGATAAAAGCGTTCCTATTGGAACAAAGTGAACGGTTATGGAACGTGGAAGTGTGCCATTTATAGGAGGACAAAAGATTAGTGAAGAATTAGATAGATACGTTTACAGAACATAGTTTCATCAAAGGCTTCCATCTCCCAGTATGAATAGTTAGTTCCTAACATGCTCCATATGCGCATCGTCGTGCCCTTCAAGCTCCATCTATGGCGATGCTAACTGAGCTCGGCAGCGAATTCCCAGCGCAGCCGCCCTTCACCGACGTTAACCTTATGATAGTTCTGTCGCTGACATCCGAATTGCTCCGCATCCGATTGATGCTGGGAACCAATACCCTGTCGAACCATTCGTCGAATACATTGGTGGCTCCGCTCTGCCAAACTCCGCCAGCTATTCGATCCAGTGCATCTTCGTCTATCTCCAAGGGTTGCAGGTTGCCCATTGTTCTCATAAATCTCGATGAAATGGAATCCGACACTGTCTTCCTTATCGTGCTAAGATCTACGGGCTTAAACACAATTGCTTCGCTCAATAGATCTATTAGCTCAGAAGCGTATGATGATGTCGGGGGGTCGACGGCGAGCTGCCCAAACTTGCGGTCGTGCTCCATTGTGAGGTCACTGGAATTCCATGAACCTTCTTCGGCATCATCATCGTCTTCATCTCTGCTGACAGCCAGATTCAAGTCGAGAGAAAGGTAGGACTGCTTTCTCTGTTTCATCGGCTGATCATTCTTCGACGTCCAATCTGCACGATGCTTCCTGCTCTTTTCCCCGAAGGAGAGCTCCAATTGCCACCTGGATTTAGCACCATGGCAGTTCTCTGAGTTCCTGAGATCGTCAGGCCACCAATCTGAAATGAGGATGAAGATGATGCTCCCGAGACCGACCTCCTGTCGGCGAGAATCCACAAGCCGGCCGGTTTCAATAGCACGCTTGATAGCCCTCCTAACCAGAGTGTTGGCATGATCGACGTCTTCGAGCACGATTAAGGAGAAAGGGTTCTGCTGGATGGCTTCAGCAACTCGGTCAAGCGAAGTCTTACCACGAAAGCTCACATCCGATTCCCCGTCGTCACCGAGGTGGATTCTGATCGGTGCAGTGTTGAAAACAAGCTCCGATAAGGCAGAGGCCATCTTCCACTTTCCAACCTTATCGGGTCCTGTGAAGAGCAGCCATGAGCCAGCCTTCGCCCCAGCGCTGCGCAGTCCTCGGTTCCCGGACACCCGTCGCGTCACTGCAGTGGCAATGGCAGAGGCAGCCTCCGGCTGCCAACTGACGGCTTCGGTTAGGCCACTACGGAGCCTCTGGAAAGCAACAACATCTGAGACACCTGTGATTGTATTGCGTTGTCTCGATGAGTCTTCGATGCACTCGCTACGGGGCTTCTGCGATGGGGTATCGAGAGGCTGCGAAAGCCCCAGAACAAGGTCGGTCTTCACTGGTGGGTTGGTTTGGTGCTCCACCGAGTTCAGCTTCAGACTGTGATCACTGCTACCTTGAGTCGGCGAAATGGTTCCTGAGACTGCTAGTAATCTCGGTTCAAGAAACTGCTGTGGACGAGGGGAGCGAGTTAGGTGCAGGCGAGTGCATCTGCCTCGCCATTTCCCCAGCAATTCCTCAACCTTTTGCTTCTGAAGAAGCTCTTGCTCATTCCTCTGCAGAACAGTACATATTTAGGGCGTTCATTATTTGGATTCAAGGGAATGAAAACGAGAGTGGCAGTCGATTCTAACCTGAAGGTGATCAGACGCTGGTTTCCTGCTGGGAACTGCATTCTGCAACCACCGAGGCAGAGTTCCCTTCGTATCCTCTCTGGGCTCCGAAGAATGGCTCTCAGATTCTTCTGATACGGTCTTAGCCAGCTCAAGCTGATAGCCCTGCATGCAAAGATGGCACAAAGCTATCGGCTGCCAACACTTGGTGTTCTCCAAAGCTCGACTCAGTCCGATGGCAGCGGCACCAGAGGCCGGTGACAGTTTTGGCTGTGCAACGACTGTGGCCGAGTTGCTTAGGCTTCCACTATTGCCCCCGGGCCTGGAATCATGCAAGAATCACCATGAATTAAAATGAGCAGAGCAAGAGAAGCATTGACGAGAAAACCAGTCTGAGGCAATGGCGGACAAGACATAACAGCGAGGAACAGAGTGGTGGCAGAGTTTTGAACCTCGGGAACAGGCCAGCGAGCGGGGGCGACCTCGGCGCGATGGGCAGAGCTTGGAGGTCCCAGTCTACCTCCATCGTCGGGTGGTAGACCTGGCATCTCAGGTACGTGGCGCATGTCGCCGTTCCGACCACCCAAACTCTGCTTCCGGCTCCGTCGTCTTCTCGCAGCCTGGCCAACAGTCGCCCCATCTCCGTGACCACCGCACGGCCTGTCTGCTGCTGTTGCTGAACTGGGCTCGCTCCATGTCCGCCTGGGTTCTCCACGAGCCACTTCAAGTCCCCCAGATCAAGAATTAGACCTCCCACGCCGCCACTGATGGAGCAATCACGAATCTTGGGTTCCAGAAAGCCATATAATTCGTTGATCTTCACGGGTATCAGGCTTCGCTCCAAAAACATGAATTCCTTCTCCAAGGACACCACCTGTGCCGAACGTAGTGATGCCGGAGTGTCGATCCCAAGCTGCTCCTTTTCGATCGTCAGCAGCACCTCCTCCATAACCGACGCCGCGTCGGAGTCTCCGACAAGCACCGGATTCCTCTTCTTCGGCCTCGTCATTATCTCCAGCACCTTCATGCCATCCTCCCTCTTGCTCGCGTCCTGCCCGCCTCTCTCCTGCTGCTGCAACAGAGGACTAAGGTACACGTTCCTCGTGACCGGATGGCTCGGCGAATTGGCGACTGTGGCAGAATTGGAGGAGAGTGACTGCTCGATGGCGGTTTTCACGGCGGGGCTTGAGAAGCCGGCCTCGCGCATCACGCGGCTGACGGAGGGATCATCAAGAATCGAGACGACGAGGTGGCCGAGCTCGACTCTGATGGCGAGCAGCGGGGGCTGCTGCTGGTCGAGGCAGCCGCGGCGCTGGTGCGCCTGGGCGCGCTTCACGGCGGCGACGAGCGCATTGGAGAGCGGCGGCTGCTCGGCGTCGGAGCCGGTTGCACTGGCCGGGAGGCGATCGAGCGCGACGGAGAAGCAGAGGTCGAGGGCGCGGCAGTGGAGGGGGTGGGAGGAGGAAGCGAGGAGCGGGTGGGAAACAGTGCAAGCGCGGCGGAGGAGCCCCGAGGGCGCCGCCAGGAGGTTGGCGGCCACGTGGAGCGGCGTCGTCTGGCCGTGACGACGCCGGTCCGCTTCCTCAATAGACCGCACCAAAACCGCTGCCGCCTCCGGCGTCAGCATCTGCTGCATCGTTGCCACCTCCGTCCTCATCGCTTCCTCTCTCTCTCTCTCTCTCTCCGCAATATCCAATATAAATCCACGCAACGATCCCTGTTTTTGTCTGCGGCTCCAACTAACAACAAGAAGAACTACGAAGCTCGACAATATAGAAGAACGTACGACACAGTTTCACCTATACAAGAGAGAGAGAGAGTATAGAACAAAGATTATAAGAGAGATGATGTAGACTGGGAATCACGGAGAAAGAGAGAGAGAGATGTGGTGGAAGGTATACACAACAAAACCAACAAGAACAACAAAGAGAAGCACGTTTTCTTTTGGAACCATATATTTTGGTTAAGGTTTCCTCTCATGACCTCTGGACTGATAAGGGCGGAGGAAATAGATGACACCACCTTTTGTCCTCCAATGGAAGAAACTCAAGCTGAGCCATCGCAGCTATATCTACCAGCAAAAGGACAGCATTCCACAAACACACAAGCTGGAGCAGCTAAAAAGCAGCCATTGGTGACATCAAGACCAGGAAATATTCAACCATGGCGAAGATAAGAGAATGACAATTACCTGCGTATTTATCTCGATCAGCTCTTGTAGTTCAACTGCTGCCTATTGTCACCTTCTCACCTGCCCTTCTTCATCGACCCTTTTCCCTTCCACTAAACTAAGCACACGATGCTGATGCACTGTCGCAGTAACTTTCTATCCATTCAACCTTTAAGCGTAAACAAGTCTTATCTCTCTTACCGTGTACTTGTAAAGTTGCAGCCAAAGACCACAAAGGCTGACGGAGGGATCGGTGGGAGGACACAGACGAGCATCATTATATTTCTCTGGAACACAACTCGCACGCCCGCTCGCTTTCGCCTGCCAGCTCCCCTTTTCCTGCGCGCTTCTCGGTAGTAGGTGGGGGTGGGTCGGGGAAGAAGAGCGAGGGAATGAATGCGATTAACCACTTCGTGTGTTGTTTATTAGTCCGTCACCAGCTTTTCGTCAAAGCTCGGCCTCTGCCTTTAATTATTACTGCAGCTCCCACAGGCCACGCCCGCTTTTAATCTACCACATACTGTTGTAATATTTCATATCATGTTACGTTGATCGGAGACGTGCCGATGATCATTGGTGGAAGGTTGGTTGATCGATATCTCACTGTTTTATGATTGATATTTTATTATTTTTTAAAATAATATAATAGCTCGTTTAGTCCTATATGATCGGACATTTAATCATTAACTTGTTGGACATAATAGTCATATATATCACTAAAAAGGATCCCTCGAGTATATTCTGTTGGAGTTAATTTTTTTTAATATTTATATTTGACACTTTATTAAATCTTCTAAATCTCTTATTGATTTAAGCATCGCTCCGAGCTATCATTGTGCTTGAGCGATAACACGGAGGGCTACGATTGTATCATGTTACCTTTTTATGGGATTAAGTAGTAATTTATCATAACTAAATAGTGATAATATGCTTGAATCACTTGGAGAGGTGGTTCTCGATACTAACACAATCGAACCATCTAAAGATGCAACTCCTAATACTAACATAGTTGAACCATTCGAAAAAATAATTCTCAACACTAATATGGTTGAACTATCCGAAGAGGTAGGGCTTTCGCCACCAATATGACAAATCACGTAAATAGCTAATTCTCAATATCAACATGATTGAACTACGTGAAAAAGATGGCTCTTGACACCAACACAATCGAATCACCCAAAGAGGAGGCTTCTAACACTAATATGGTCGAACCACCCAAAGAGGTGATTCTCAACACCAATACAATCAAATTACTTAAAGAAATAATTCCTTACACCAATATGGTCGAACTGCCTTATACAACTGAACCTCCTAAAGAGACAATTCTTAACACCTCTATAATAATATAGCTAAACCCAACCATAAAGTATCCCTTGACATGATCGAAGTGTCTCTCAACAACAATATAACCAAATCCAACTATGAAATATTCATATACAAAAATATGACCAATTGACCAAGAAGCATCCTTCTATAACGATGTGATTGAAATCAATCATAAAGCATCCCTAGGTGTTGATGTAGCTAATCTTGATCATGGAGCATGCCTATATAGTAACATAACCAATCGACCAAGAAATATCCTTTTGTAATAACATAATCAAAATAAAGTACAAAATGTCCCTAGATGACAATGTAGCCAAACTCGATCATTAAGCGTCCCTCTATGATTACATGATTGAATTGACTAAGAAGCATCCTTCCATAATGATATGACTAAATCTAACTATAAATCTTCCTCTATGATAATATGACCTAATCGATCTAAAACATCTTTCGACGATCACATAGGTTGAAAAATTGACTAATAAGTATATTTTAATAGCAACATAGGCTAAATTTGCCTAGAAGTATCTTTCGATAATAGTATGATCGAAATAGCTAAAATCATTATATTGATGATAGTGTAATTGAAACAACCCAAGATGTTATTTCATCAATAGTAGTTAAAATGACCCAAGTCATTATTTCAATGGCAGTGTGGACCAAACGATCCAAGGCGCTATTCCAATAGTAATGCTATGAACGACCTAAGGTGCAATTCCAATAATAGCATAGATGAAACAACCCAATATGTTATTCTAATGATAGTGCGATACTATTTTGATGACAACGAGATGATTGAAATGACTCAAGGTGTTATTCGAATAACAATATAATTGAAATAACCAAGGCTCTATTTTGAATCCAAGGCACTATTTTGAATCCAAGTATTATTTTATTGATATTATGATTGAATCGACCTAAAGTGCTATTCCAATGATCGTACGATTGATTCAACATATAGCTTTATGTCAATAAAGTATTATCTCGATGTTAACATAATCAAATCGGTCCAAAGTAGTATTCTAAAGATTGAGTGGTTAAACAAGAAGTTTGGTATAAGAATGATGTGTCAGGACATGTTAGGAGCACAAATGATATAAGAATGATGGTAAATGGAAGATTGTTGACACCTCACTATTACGTGGTTGATGCCTCATGACCATTCAGATGACTTGGCAACCAATTCAATCCTATAAAGTCAATTATCTAGGAAGCTGACTCAGCCAACTATTACCCTCAGTTTTTTGGGTTTAGTGCAATATGATTGCATCTATGATTGAAGAAAGCACATAATAGTTTTATGCATTTAACCACGACCTGGAATACAATGGTTATAGACCTCACTAAAAAGAGACCTCTTAGGTACATTCTCCTGTATTTAAATTTTTTCTAACACTTAGACTTAACACTTGATCGAATCATCTGAATCCCTTATTAAGGTATTAAAGGGCCTTGTTAGGGAGACACCAACATAACAAATCATGTAAAGAAGCAATTCCCAATGTCAATATGATTAAACTATCCAGAAGAGATGATTATTGACACCAACATGATTGAACCACCTAAAGAGGTGGCTTTTGATGTTAATACGATTGAACTACTTAAAGAGGTGATTCTTGATACCAATACTAACGATATATCTAAAGAAATAATTCCTTACACTAGTACAATTGAATTGCCTAAAGAGGTGGCTCTTAATACATGACTGAACTATCTGAATAGATAATTTTCAACACCTCTATAATAATATAGTCGAACCCAACCATTCCTCGATAATGGCATGGTCAAACCTAAGGTCTCCCTGAATGACAACATGACCAAACCCAACTATGAAGCATTCATATACAATAATATGACCAATCGACTAAGAAACATCCTTCTATAATGATGCAATCAAAATCAATCAAAAGTGTCCTTAGATGTTTGACATAGCCAATCTCGATCATGAAGCATCCTTATACAATAACATAACCAATCAACCAAGAAGTATCCTTTTACAATGACGTGATCAAAATCAAGCACAAAAGCTCTCTAAATGATGATATAGCCAAACTCGATCATAAAGCATCCCTCTATGATAACACAGTTGAATTGGTCATTAAGCATCCTTCTACAATGATATGATTGAATATAACAATAATATCTTCCTCCACAACAACATAGCCTAATCGGTCCAAAAATATCTTTTGATAGTCACACAGGTTGAGAAATTGACTAAGAAGCATTTCCTGATAACAGTAATAGCTAAATTGACTAAAAAACATAACCTAATAATAGCATAGCCAAAATAGCCAAAGGCATTATCTAGTTGACAATGCAACTAAAATGACCAAAGGTATTATTTCATCACTAGTGGTCGAAATGGCTCAAGCCACTTTTTCAATGACAACATGGCCCAAACGATCCAAGGTGCTACTCTGACAATAGCACCTCTGAATGACTTAAGGTGCAATTCGAACGATTGTATGAAACAATCTAATATATTATTTTAATGATAGTATAATCGAAATAGCCTAAGACACTATTTTGATAACAACGTGATGATCAAAATGACCCAATGTGTTATTCGGATAGCAATATAATTGAAATAACCCAAGGCGCTACTCCGACAATACGAAATGGCCTAAGGTGCTATTCCGACCATAGCATAATCAAAAATATCCCAAAACACTTTTGATGATAGCATAACTAAAATGACTTTAGAGGTCATTGCGATGACAGTGCACTCAAAATAGCCTAAGGTTTTATTTTATCAATAACATAATCGAAATGACTCAAAGTTGATCATAATGGTCAAATAAAAATAAAATATTATTTTAATAATAATATGATCGGAATAGCCCAAAGCATTATTTCAATGACATCATACTTGAATCAATACAAAGCATTATTTTAAAGATTAAATAGTTAAATAGGAAGTTTGACAAAAGTTCCATAATGCATTGACTATGTGGGAGGGCTAATAAAAGATCATGAACACCTTTCCATTATGCGGTTGATACCTCATGATCATTTGGATGATATAGCAACTAATTCAATCCTATAAAATTAGTTATCTAGAAAGTTGACTCAGCTTACCTTATGTTTTATAGGTTCGATACTATATGATTGCATGTATGGTCAAAGAAAGCACATAACCATTTCAAACATTTAACCATGACCTCGAATACAATGATTCCTGACTTCATTACAAAAGAACCTTATGTATACTTAATTTTTTTTGAAATCCTTCAAATCCCTTATTAGGGAGCTCTTAACGTAATTTTTTTATAGAATCCTTGTCCAACCCACTTATCTCCTGATATTAAATTTACCATAAACTTAAATTCAAACTAAGATCGGATTTGAGCCCTCCTTCACGTTGGACAAATCTTGCTGTAATAAGCAGAAATGTGATGCAATTTTGTTATTTTGGTGTCGGATAATGTTTACTTTTTCTTTTTTGTCCTTTGGCATCATGCACACTGTTTTGTGCAGTGATGTACACACCACGTAAGATAGGCATGAGAAAAATAGACAACCAAAGATTCGATCCTTTGAAAGGAAATCGAATGTCTTTACCATCTGAGTTAGTGCACATCGACATCATATATAATGTCTATGAGATATTCTTTTTCTAGATTTACTTTTTTCATTCAACTATCATGTAATACGAATATTAAATGCTTGTAATAGAAACTTTTTAACTGCATATACTATGATTCCTACCATGTATCAGCTGAGAGTTCTGAAAGCATAATATTAAATAGAGCTAGGAAGGGATCATATTAGGTTCGATGTATTGAAACAAAGCAATAAGTTATATGGGGATTATCAACCTTCAGTCCATTAAAATCGTAAATAGAATTTTTTTTTATGACTTGAATTGTTTATTGGAATCGTAAATGAGTAATTTCACTCAATCGTAAATCGTAAATGATTAATTTTAATTTACATGAAAATTGTGATCATTTCAGGTCTCTTCGTGTGATGGTATTAATCGCTAAGATAAAGGGCTAATAAATAATTAAAAATAATAATTGATGGTAAAAAGTGTTGGTGGGAAGGTTGATCGATTTGGTTCTAATCCGACCTGCACGAAGATCACGAGGTTTCCGATGTGATCTTTGTGATGCTCATGTCAGATTTCTAAAATATATTAGATAACCATAAGAGCGAGAAGTTTCAAATCTCGATAATTATGCCTTGGTTAAAAGTTATACAAAAAAAATTTTTTATATATTTTTTAATCGACTTATGTTGAGGTTATCTGATTGACTATTGAAGATTTTTATCTTCTTCAATTTCTAATATCCACTTGTCACTGATTTTGTCCATTTCCTACCTACCTAAAGCTTGTGAAACTTTCCGCCTACTTTTCTTCCCTTTATGATCGGATAACAGTTGCTTTTCATTTGATTAAGAAGGGTTTGTGCTTTTCTTCTCGTTGGTTAATGAAGTGGATTGTTCAACAATGGAAATTAAATAATTATTTTTTATTATTTACAAAGTTAAGAACTTAATATTCTATTAGACCTTCATGGATGAAAATTTTCCATTATCTTCAACATCATGTATATATATGGTTGTCATCGTCTTCCTCGTGACTTCTCCGTAGAAATATTAGACGACAGGATTATAATTTGTTTATTAAGTTTATAAATGTTCTTTTGATGATTATCTAGATCTTGGTCTAGCAATCTTCTTCTTCTTCTTCTTTTTTTTTCTTATCTTAAAGCAATTTTACATAAAATTATTATGGAATGGACATCTAAGTACTTAATCATAATCTCTCTCTAAATAAGGACAATTCCTGCAGTCACTATTTTTGTAAAAAATATTTTATGTATTTTTGGTTTTTTTGTTACTGTTATTTATAAAATATGTGACATACGAGAATACTGATGTTTGAAATTATTAGAGAAAACTGTAAAAAAAATATTTTATTATATGAAGATTCGTTCGAGGATAAAATAAGGAAAATTATTTAAGATACGATGAACATATACTAATAAGACGTATGGATATTATAATTAGAAGATATGAGATGATTAGTATCAGTGATAGTATGAGAGGAAAAAAAAAAAGAAGATTTTATTAGAAATCATACAGAGAAATTTAAGTACTTTTAATTTAATTAATAATATAATAGTCAGTTCTCGAATAATTAAAACATTGCCACTTACATAAAATGAGACAATGGCAAACATCAAAAGATAACAGTTATGATATTAACAAAGCAAAAAAGGAAACCATCATCAATACTATCATGATGAGCTCAGAAGATAAAAGGGGCATTGACAGCAAGCCAGCCCTGGGAAAAGTTCCTTTGGATCTCCCCTTTACAAAAGTAGCAGTTGCTTTGAAGGGTGGTGCCATGGACTTTCCTTGAGAGTTGTCTTCCCCTTGTCCATCTCTACCAAACCACATCTACATGACACCATCATGCTTTAACCCTCACTTCCCCACTCAAAAAGGCTCATGCCTTGCTTCCCTCATCCTTCCACCTCTCTCTCTGTCTCTCTCTCTCCTCCTTGAGAGATAATGAAAGCACTTGACTGGGCCTTGCTACTCTTTGGCCAGTGTTAGTGACCATAATAGATGGAAAAGGTTCTGACTTTACAGAGATGAGGGCAGTTGACACTATCAATCATCTGAGCAACAGATGAGGAAAGAAGAATCATTACAAAAAGTTAAAGTGAAAAAAAGATGTCTACAACATGGACAATTTGCCAAGTGGAGTGCACTCAGAAAGCTTACTTTCTCTCTGCATAAAGTCATTCATTCATTCCCTCTCTTTTTAACTCCATAGTTTTTGTCATTGGTTTCCTTAAAACTGGGCCACAAAAAGGAACCCACTTTTGCACAACAGAAGGCTGATGATTCCTCTGGAGTAGAAAGTTTTTTCTTAACATTCTATCTAACCTCAATTTCTAAGATTGGGAGAGTGGATTGGACTCTGAAGAGAATGCTCATGGTTTCAGCAAGTAGTGCAAGTCATTTTGTTTCTGGTCCCAAGTGATTCCATGGGTATATATGCTTGAAGGAGCTTCCACTTTTCACCTGTGGTGTCTGAGGCATTTCAATGAGGCAATAAAAAAGCTGATCCAATCTAAAGAAGCAACAGAAGAAGAGCTAATTCAATTTGACATGCACCAGAGGAAAGAATCCAATTCAACTTGAAGATGATGAGGCCATTTTTGACAATCTGACTTGATGTCAGGAGGGCCCCTCCCTCTTTTGTTCTCTCAGAGCTGATCCTTTTCTACTCTCACTCACATTTAAGAACTAATACACAAATAATCTCTTTAAAAGTGTTCTGCTCAAACAAAGCAAAAGGTTTACAATGATAACTATGATTAGTAATCATTGTTTACTATGATACGATTTTATATGATGAAAGAAAGGCCAAAACACCAATAGTTGAATAAAAAGTTGAAGGTAGGATTAGAAAGATGGAGATGAACCCAAAATTACTGAAAACACAATATGGTGACGATTTCATCCTAAACAAGATTACACTGATAAATACATCTAGATTGTACAGCAGGCATGCCATTCTGTTTAGAAACTATCTTAACTTGTACTCAGTTAAGATGATACCACATTATCAGAGTAGCCATGCGTATAGATTTGTTTGGATGAAGATTTACATCCTCAACATCATATTTTATCAAGTACAAACCCTTGCTCATCTGAATTTCTCTTTCAACTGTAATCTGGTGAGAAGCAAGCAGGTGTCCTCATAACAGGTTCGATGATAACTAATCACAAGTGTCCACGGAGAAGTGAGGCTAACCTAGGTAGAACTGTGAACACAAGATTTTGTTTTGGGTGAGAAGTACTCTGGAATTATGTTGACTTCATCTTCTTTCAGCATCGACGCATCCGTCCGGGAGTTAAATGATTCCCTCCTACTCAAATCCTTTGCCATCTTTCTCCTCCTGTAGCGATGCCAAGCTGCCTGAATGAAGCAGGCAGCCCATGTCCTCCAGTGATGAGAGTAGAAATGGAAAGTCCTGCAGCTTTCAGCTTTTCCAAAGGCCTCAACTTTAGCCAGTGTTCTTACAATTCTTAGAGGAAGGCAAGTTCACCATGGCCTTTGGAAGAAGAGCCCAATCAAGAAGTTCCTTACCACAGAAATCACTAGGCCTGTGCATCACAGAATTGAAGAAACCAGTTCCACCTCTACTAGCAGTAGAGCTCTTCAGTCTGTCATATGTTGATGAAAAGCATTTGTGTCGGGGTCACCCTCTCGAACAATACAGGCGCCTTCTGTGCTTAAAGAGGATACAAAAACCTCACATATAGTGTCTAGAAGTTGATCATCCATCTGCAAGAAAAAACGAACCTGCAATTTTGAATCATAAAATATGATGCAAAAACAAAAAAAGCGCTGAATGGTGCAGAATTATGGGCATGCATGAAAGCTGGTTTATTTGCACTAGAGAAATAAGATTGCCAACCAGATGATGCCCTCCAAATGTCCTTTAAGGAAACAAGCATTGTTACAGAGATTGCCAAAGCAAACAACATCATCAAAGAACAGATACAAGAACAGAAACCAGTTTGACCAAAGAGTCGGTTTACCTAGTTGCATTGAACATAGCAGGTACTGGAGATTTTTCCTCTCCCAGTGAAAAGAATCTGTAGTATTCCTGATGTAAATATGATCAACTCTTATAAAAGAACACTATGACAAACCTCTTAGTTATGCACATTTTCATTAGATAGGCAATCACATATTGTAAGATGTTAGATACTGATCTCAGTAGGTTAGCTCTAGCAGATTATATCCATCATACAAGATACAATCTGCTAGAGCTAACCTACTGAGATCAGTATCTAATATCTTGCCTCATGTATTCAAACACCAAGACCAATGCTCGAAGACATTTTGGTTTCTGGAAAGCCTGCAGGAGCTTTCCAACAGATCCAAAAGCCAATCTCCAGACCTGTCAGCTAAATCACAAGACTGTTCTGTTGCCATGACTACCATGACCTATCTTACCTTGAAGCACAGAGGACTATGTGACTCATCTAAACTAAATGGTATTGATGCACCTTATCATTCATCCATGTATGTCCCCATCCTTGCCAATGGATGATAGCTCAAATTGGGTAAAAACTCTTAAAGAACAATCAGAAGTTATGCACACAACTAACACAGATTAAACCAAGATAAAAAGCAAGAAAAAGAGATCTGAGATGTTATGTGTAAGCACAGACCTTTCTGTAGTCATTAAGCAAACCAAGAGGAAAAGGACCTGGTTCAATGTCAACAAACATGTTCATACAGTAAAATAGTGGCAAGCAAGAGGTATTCATTCCTCTTCTATCCGCCTGAGAGACAGAATGATAAAAAGTAGATGAAAGAAAAAAAGAAGATATAGCTTAGCTATGACAAATACAGATGCAAGGATAATATGAAAGAAAAACTCAGAAATGCATACATAACAAGCGACTGAAATGTTTAGTGCCATAAAATTGACAAAGTAAACTATTATGTCACCCAGCGGCATGAGTTACACATTAATAAAAATTAAAGATATTCAAGTTCTAATATCCCAAAAGATTGAGATTAGAAAGTTGGTGCCAATGTTTGATTCAAATATTTTGTTTGATAGAAGAATATATGTAAATGTTATAAATACAAGCACATAGATGATTCGTTCATAAGATTAGAGGAACATGTATCTATATCGCTTTCTAATGAACAAAGAATTGCCAACCAAACCAAAGTAAGCAATTCAAGGGAAGATTAACCTATGCTGATGCTTGTTGTTAATTAGTCAAAAACATTGCATTTACCTGCAGTGGTCCTCTGTCCCACCCAGACAAGTGGGTAGGTTATCATCACCGGGAAAGGGCAGGTGCTGCATGCAGTGCCTGCATACAGTATCAACTATCATGCACATAAATTTACATGTGCCTGCCACAAGGACAGCACATATGGCAGAAATGCCAATATGTCATGGTAATCTCCATCCCATGTTGACATAAGGCTAACAGGCGCGTAACAGACATGATACCGGCACAAAAAATCCTTGATTGCCTTGACCAGAGTAATATCCAAATGAAGCTGGAAGGATTTTGGATGAATCAAGTCGGGAAGTAACATTTTGGAAACAAAGATGTACAGATTATCTAGCGTAAGTAACTTTGCTTGTTCAACAGTTCCAAGTTTCTAGTGATATTATCTTTATATAGTTAACAATTCAGATGCACTTTGCTTTGCCAATTTCATCCTAATGCATGTCCCAGCTAGTTCACAACATCTTGATACTGATCTGCATGATACAAGCATTTGTTCAATTAAATATTTATGTTTATTAGAAGTACTCAAAATTCCACCAGTGCAGTGGAAATAAAACATTGATAATAATTGTCAAGGGATCCATCATTAATCCTTTGCAATAAAGGCAAACTTGCTCCAGCAATAAACTACAGCTTACATGAAATTAACTTCCTTTAACTTTAGAGAGCAACCTAAGCTGTTTCATTTGAGATGATATTTAATGAACCAGAATGAAAACACTCATGAAAAATGTGACTGCAACTGAAATGGAGCCTATCAATGGTAACATGTCAATACAAAAGTGTCAGATACAAAGTAAATATCACATGGAATCCAACCTGGCAATACAACTTATTCAGCTTCATAACAAATGAAAATAGGATTGACTACATCCGTGCTGCATTTCTTTTTTAGTATCCTCAGAAGGCATTTACCCTCTCAACACTCTCTTTAAATAATTTTCCATAATATGCACAATCATGACTACAAGACCCTTCAGTAATGATTACTTTCTTCATTTGTTGGTTCATTCCACGTCTGGACAGTAGTTCAATCATGACTATCATTAGCTTACATGACTAAACATTTAGATTTTATATAAAGTTCAATGTCCAATTCCCTGATCCTAATATTCCTCTCATCAAAAGGAAACAAATAAGATAAGGGGTGTTTATATACGAATTCAAGGTGTATGTCAATGCATGGTAAGCATTATTATGGTTGTTGCCTTTAATTATTCAGAGAATATAGGCCAAATAATTGCAAAGGCATCATTGCATGGTAAACATTCTTGTATCCTTAAGACATTTTGAAATTTTGAGCATTTTGTAAATAAAATATTTACTCCATAAGGAAGTGACCAAGGGAAGAAAGATATAATTGGAATGTTCTTCTGACATGATGGAGCATGACTAGATTCGAGGAAAAAAATAGTCTAGTTATTTCTATTTGTATGGTATGCTAATGGAGCGCAATTGGATACAAGTCTTCCTTAATAAGAACACTAAAGAGCACGTGTTGCACCCATCCACCAGCATAAACAGTTCGGTTAACATTCAAAAAGACATCTTTTTTATACCAATCAGTCGTTCTTGCCCAACAGAACAAGCGCAACAATCGTGGATACAACTCCAAAATCTGATAAAGAAATGGCAACAAGAAAGCATAAGTCGGCTTGAGGACCTCACCACAGATAAGTGAAGGGTTCCATGAAACAAGATCGATGGGAATGAGCTCCTTGGTCGGGTCAAGGGAGAACCTCACAGATTTCTGCCCGTCGAGGTACGCCCTTCTACCACCGGGAAGCGGCTTACCTCGCGGAGGACCTTCCGGCCGGATGCGTGGCGAGAAGACGACGACGAACCGCGGGTTCTCGGAACCCTAACCCCAATCCGAAGGATTGCGATTGGATTCCGGAGGGTGGAAGGGGAGAGGAAGACGGAGGCGAAGCCACATGATCCTCTCGAAAAGACAAGTGTTCACGTATTGGCCAATCTCAAATCTCAGCCGTTCACTGAGATGGTAGACCCATCTTTGGAATATGAACGGTGATGGGATCAAAGCAAACAAGAAGGGTGCGTTTCTGCCGTCTCGCAAATTTGCTTTCTTCTTTGACCATGTTTACCTTACCAGGGTCACCTACCAGTCTTGTGACTGGCTACATGCATGAAGATCCACGTGGGCCCCACCTTCCGGGGTCCCTGCTTAGGAGTGCGATGAAAAACGAAATAGTTTTCTTACCCAATTACAAGTCACTGCCAGTTTTACCCACCTTTAGGCGAGGGGTTTCTGCCTGGCCCACATCGTCATACAATCATAAGGTAACGGAGATTACCGGGTAAATGGTCAAGGAGTAGTAAAATTATTAGCATAGACTCCGATCGGTACCCTCACCGCTTAAGGCAGGTGTTAATATCGAGTTCGAATCCCCGCGCTCTCTCCACTATAAGTTCCCTTCCGAATTCAAATCTTGCCCGCTTCTCGTACACTCGCTCGCTCGCTCGCTCGCCATGGGAGGATCTCACAGCCGCGAGGCCTTGGAGCTCTCCGATTCCGACGAAGAAGAAGGGGGAGAACAACAACAACAACAAGACCAAGGAGGAACCGGTCACCGATCGGGGGAAACCCTAACCCCGACCTACTCCCTCGACGAAGTGGATCGGCAGCTTCAATCCCTCAAACTCCAGTATACTAAGCCCTACTCCTCGCCGTCTCCCTCCTCCCAGAACCCTAGCCCTACGAACTCTGTCAAGCTCTACCTCCACGTCGGCGGCAGTTCCCCCGCCGCCCGCTGGGTCCTCTCCGACAAGCTCGCTTCCTACGCTTTCTTTCGGCCCTCGCTCTCTGGCGACTCCGACGGCGAGGATGAGAGCCCGTCCTCCTCCCCTTGGTTCCTGCGGATCGGCGCCAGGGTCCGCGTCAGGGTCGGTCCGGAGCTGCAGCTCAAGTCGTTACCCGACCAGCGCCGCGTTGATTTCGTCGCCGATGGGGTGTGGGCCATCAAATTCCCCACGCTGGAAGGGTATCGGGAGTTCCAGAATCAGTACCAAAGCTGCCTCTTTGAGAACACCTACGGCTTTGCAGCGAACGAGGCGAACAAGGTGAAGGTGTTCGGAAAGGATTTCATGGCGTGGGTGCGACCAGAGGCAGAAGAAGAGAGCATTTGGGGAGATGCTGAAGAATACTTTGAAAGCAGTCCTGGGCCGTTGGCTATGCCGACCAGGGTCAACCAGGACTTGCTGGAGGAGTTCGAGGAGGCGGCCAATGGAGGTGGGATACAGAGCCTCGCACTTGGTGCACTTGACAACAGTTTCTTGGTGAGTGACTCTGGGATCCAGGTTCTCAGGAACTTTAGCCATGGGGTTCATGGAAAGGGGATTTCAGTGAATATTTCGAGAAGTGGTGGCCGAGCTGGCGGGTGTTCTACACCTAAGAAGGCACTTTTGATGAAAGCAGAGACCAATATGTTGTTGATGAGCCCAGCACAAGGGAATTCCCGTGCAACTGGGCTTCATCAGTTGGACATTGAAACGGGGAAGGTTGTCACAGAGTGGAAGTTTGAGAAGGATGGAACTAATATTACCATGCAAGACATAGCAAATGATAGCAAGGGTGCTCAGTTGGATCCATCAGAGTCCACCTTTTTGGGGTTGGATGATAATACTCTTTGCCGCTGGGACTTGCGGGACCAAAGAGGGATGGTCCAGAACATTGCAATTCAAATGGAATCCCCGGTGTTGCAGTGGAAGCAAGGTCACCAGTTCTCTAAAGGGACAAATTTTCAGTGCTTTGCTACCACAGGTGATGGTTCTATTGTTGTGGGATCTCTGAATGGGAAGATACGGTTATACTCAGACGGTTCTATGAGGGTGGCCAAGACTGCATTCCCTGGACTTGGATCACCGATCACTCACGTGGATGTTACTTTTGATGGAAAGTGGGTATTGGGCACAACAGACACATACCTAATACTTATAAGCACAGTCTTTAAGGACAAATATGGAAGGGAGATGACTGGTTTTAGTGGGAGAAGAGGTCACAGGATTGCTGCTCCAAGATTATTGAAGCTTACTCCACTGGACTCGCAGCTGGCTGGCACCGACAATAAGTTCCGTGGGGGACAGTTTTCATGGGTATGACTGACATTCCCCTAGTTTTTCTTTTTTGAAAATGCATAATGTACAATCTCCAATTCATGTTTGCTGCTGATTTTTGTTGCTCAAGTTCTAGTTGATTTCTTAATTTATTTGATTGAACTAAATGCTTTGGCCGCTGGGATTAACATATTTGATTGTGTTCATGTAATTTTTGGCACGGTCTTCTAGTCACAACATTCACTGTGACATCTTAGAGTTTATAATTTTTTTGTTGTTCTTCAAATTAGGAATTAGTCATTGTAACTTACGTTTCTGTGACTACCGAGTTCGAGTTTATTAAACGTGTACACCTTCATGTTCGAAGTTTAGTTTCTTTTTTTTTTTCTGTTTTTGAATAGAAATCTGTCTTTCATAAGTAATCTTGTCCATGACTATCATTTTCAACTTTAGCTTTTCTGTGTTTCCATGTTTTTGCAGTTATTTTTTTCATTACTCTCAATCAAAATATTTTTTTAAGAGTTACATGAGTTATGCCTTTAATTAGGTATTCTTCATCTTAGTTTTTTTGTATGCCTTTGATGCCATGATTCGGTTGAATGAAATAACTGATCCATTAATTTGATAGGTCTAGAATTACGTGACTCAAAATACTTTAGCTCAGATTAATAGCAATAGATTCATTTAGTACTATAAACCAGCTCAGATCTCCTTTTACATTTGATATGAGACTGAATTACATCTTTTTCTTTTTCACTCTGTCAGCTTCTTTTCTTTATTTTTGTGGATGCTATCCTCCCAAACTCTCTCTGTGCCATCTTGGTGTCTTTGGACATCAAGAGGCATCGATCATCTGTAATATTCTTAATCTGTATGTTTCCCCACGGTTACTATATTTATTTCCTTACGAATCCTATTCATCGGAACTAAAATCTTATGAAGTGTTGGTTGATTTGTTGCCTCTTTTTTTTTTTTTCTTTTTGTTGCTCATTGTGGGATATGTCATGGGTCTCCTAACTAGAGGACATGATTGAGATCATTAATGGTTTAACAAGGAGGGAGCCAAAAAGGCCTTTTCTTTTGGACAAGAGTCTAGAATAGGTAGAGACATTCACCTTGGTTGACACTTGACATATTTTGTAGGATATATACTATTGGGCAAGAGAAAAGACAAAAGAAAACTGACTTAACATAACCATTGATCTGATATCTACTTCTGTCACAGTCCATCCCTGAGAGATTGTTTTTGTCTCATAATAGAACTTGAAGACCTTTTATAGAGTAGGAAATTGGTTGTCACTGTGATTACTGTTTTAACCATTTGAGTTAAGATATGGGAGCTCTGAAATATTGATCCTCATTTTATTTTTGCTTGAGATGATGGACATTGCCTTGGCTTTTCACAGTGTTTGTAAAAGTATTGCATTGGCATTTTGAGTGTAGTATTTGTAGATGATTTCTGACCACGATTGATGTACCTGTCGATATATTAGTAGAACATAGGAAGATTGTTACCTGTGTTAGTGCTTTTTTGTCATTTAAGCAAACGTGTTCTTTTATTTGATATATGTGAGTGCACACATAGGACTATGTTACTACTATAAAAGAGAGTAAGATTTGAAAATCTGTTAGTCGTTTGAGTATTCGTTTCACATAATTGATTTATGAGAATGGTTGCAAACCTGAATATAGCATTGGAATTGCTAAATGTTGGTTTACAGCATTATAGATTGTTTAATGAATATTATAAACAAATGGTTTATATGAACAGAATTTGGTTAATGTGTTGTGTAAACAAAATTAATTTCCTTGATCTGATATCAAATGGTTGGCATGAAAAGGATTTGATGCTCATGTTTTATTGGTCTGTAGGAATTCTTTTGCTATATTAATGACTTGGATATTTCTATTTTATAGCTGTAGGAGTAAATCTGAGCTCATCATCATATCAAAAGTATCTTTGGTAGTTTAGACGAGTAAAAAAGATGTTGCCAATTTCAGGACTGAATTGGTTGACATATTAACAAAGAGAAAAAGTTTGTAGAACTTCCAACTCAAAGTATGGTAGCCGTTGAAGTGAGAATATATGGTAGTGACTGGAGTGAGAATGTGGTCCCATGTGAATGTTTCACATGATGTGGTTGTTTCTTAAGCAAACGATGGAAATATATCTTGAAAATCCATATCGAATATTATATTTGAGAGGCCAAGGAATATCGGTCCATTGAAGCGGCAGAATCTGCCAAGTACCTAAAATCATGTGATTTAGCTTCTTTGCTTATTATATATGTCCATTTAGGTGTGAATTTATATAGTGCTGTTGGTATGTTGTTGGATAATATGGTACTACAAACAAATGTGATCCCTGCGGAAGTAAGGGATATGAAAACTAAAGTTTATTTTCATTCTAATGTGCGTCATTTTTCTTTTTTCTTCTTTTCATTTACTCTTAACGCTCTTTTGTTATTTTTTTTTTTGTTTTCTTTTGTTTGTTCGTCCTTTTTCACTTTTGTCTTCTGTGGTTAACAGCAGTTTGCATCTCCATCGATATTTTGGTTGATTGTTTTGTGATTTCTATGCATCCAGGTGACTGACAATGGTAAGCGGGAGAGGCATCTGGTTGCGACTTTCGGCAATTTTAGTGTCATCTGGAACTTCCAGCATGTAAAGGACAGCAACCACGAGTGCTACAAGAATCAGGAAGGGCTGAAGAGCTGCTACTGCTACAAGATCGTCCCCAAAGATGAATCCATCGTGGACAGCCGCTTCATGCACGAGAAGTTTGCGGTGAGCGACTCGCCGGAGGCACCTCTGGTCGTGGCAACCCCAATGAAGGTGAGCTCTTTCAGTATATCAAGCGGCCGGCACTGACTTCCGACCCCTCTGCTGACCGCTGGAACCTCACGGATTGTATCGACTTGTACTAGTTCGCATTACTTTTTACGATCCTCTACTTTGGTGTCATTCTTATGTGAAAAAAATCGAGACTCATGTTTTTGTTGATATCATTCAAATTGTTTGCTCGAGGGTTAAATATGTGCGTTTCATCATCGACTGTTCTTGGTTATGGTGTTGGAGAACATTAAATGTATGACAGCAGCAAAACTCTTACTGTGCAGGCTTCCTGTCGATTGCCTTGGCGCATGACAGTAGCTGTCCTGTAGAGAAAGCTGCAAACGCTTACTGTTGGGTTGTTTTAACGTGGTTGGCTCTATTGTGTCGGCAACCGATCTGATCACTAGATGATCTTAAATTTTCCTGTCCTACTACATACATTATAATAATTGCTCCGGTAAAATGCACCTTCCGTTCAAATAAAGCACATATAACATCCTACCATCAGAATTATTTATCCAAGGGAAATATATATATACAGATAGGCACAAAAACACTTGACTTTTGTCGTTGCCACCGCAACTCTCCGCTGAGAAGCTTCAGGTCAACATCTTGCAGATGATGGCACCAAGGACTTCTCCAGTAGGGATTCATGCAAGCTTAAGAGGAGCATGGTGAAGCATTAAATGTTAAGATTAGAGAGGAATATTCCACGCATCACTTGAAGAATTTTAGTTTAACGCCCCCACATTTTGCAGATGATAGCCATGCAAACAAAATGTGGCAACTATGACAAACAAATGCTACCACTACATTGGACGTATCAGATACCAGAACCTGGATCTATAGCTCTCCAGACAGAGAAGGTCCATGTAACAGGTTATGGATCATACATGGAAGTCAAGTACCAAGTTTTCTTCACAGTGACACCAAAAATGCTGGAGCAGGGGAAACCAATAGGATGGCAAATACATTTTCCTCGTCCAACAGCACGCAACCCCTCGGGCCACTTAAGCTCCTGCAGCCAGAAACATCAGAGGAGAAAAGAAAAAGGTTCAAACACGAGCAGCATTTGCTTTTAATGAAGTGGCATGTCAAGTACAAGTGCAAAGCTTATGAAAATCGTCATGATGTATCAAACGTTTGCATGATTTTATATGTACTACATATAAAACGTTTGTTACCTATGAAGATTAAGCAAGGTGAGCATCAGTAATGCATATGGGCAGAAAAATAGACGAAGTAGCAGGTTTACAATTTAAATAGCAAAAGGTGTTCCTGATCTGCCTTACTCTTTCATTAAATAAAATCACTCCAGCAATATCACCATCAAAGTCTCCCCGAACATTGAAGTTATAGTTACCAAGGAGACAACCTAGGTGTTTGGGCTATCACCTTCAAATTACAATGAAATTCTTCTTTGGTAAATATGACAAAAACTCATCACACACACACACACACACATATATATATATATAACCTTTTCTGTGAGATAGGCATCTGTTACTACTGCCTAGACTATCATAGTTGAAGGTCTTGGTTGCACATACAAGGAAGTAGCAGAGGGTATAGGCAGAAAAGATGAGAAGGGAGACTAGAAAAGTTGGCAAATGGTGACCATGTAGAAGGAAGTGTTGGAGTAGGACACCATGGTGGCAGTTATCAGTCAAGGACGTCGAACAAGAGGAAGAGGGAGCAAGGTTTGCAGCTCAAGGAGGAAGATCTTGTGGCCTGGGCACCATAGGAGCCAAGAGCAATAATGGCTTTTTGGGGTGTCCACAACTCAAGGAATCACAATTTGTCAGGAGTAAGGCATCAGGAAAGTGTTGTCCTTTTATATAATCCAAGTCAAGCTCAAAAGCTGTATCCAAACTTCATTAAGCCGGCATGTTCAAGGCTCAAAGGCTCATAAACCTCACAGCCCAGGCTCAGCTTAGGTATGGCCCAACTCGAGACCACACATTCCCAGACCTGAACTTGGACTTGCTTCACAAGGTTTGAATCAATTATCATTCATCAAAATATTCCTAAACAATTAGAATTACAAAATCCATAAAAATTATATAAATAATAATCCAGCATGATAACTCAAGTTGTATGGACACATTTCAATTTTCAACTTAATGCATTATTTAATTTCAAATGTTCCTTTGGCAAAGAATGGAGAATAGATGAGAATAAACTAGACATTCAAGCTTCAGCTTTTACTTCCAAGGAGCTAGGTGATAATTACCACAAAAGAGGAATTAAGTTAAATGAAATAGAAGCAAATCGAATCTTCCAACAAGTGGATACCTAGAAAATTTAAACTTAGCTTATACCTCACATTGCAATTCTAATTTTTGAAAATGACACAGAAGTTGAAAATATTACAATAAGAAAGGTGAACAAAGATCACAGGTGATGATAAGAACATGCACACAAACGCACATGGAGAGGCCAAAGGAGGATTGCACATAGTGTTTTGATCAATTGTACATGGAGAGACAAAGAGAGAGAGTAAAAGTAAAAGCAAGGGAAAAGATTAAAGACTACCAATGCAAATGGATTAATATTGGAAGAAAGAGAAACAATCACTCACACAAGTAAAGAGAAAGATTGAAAGAGGAGGATGAGAAACACAAGGTAAATTACAATGGATAGCTCACAGAGAGAGGAAACGTCGAGGGTTATATAAAGTTATTAAAAGACCCAGAGTCGACTCACATGTGAAATGGAAAATAAAGATTAGCAATGTTGTAACTACCCTCTTGTCTAACTTATGAGAATCAATTCACAAAAGCCTCCAAATAAGCACAACTTCCTTTTTCTGATAAATGGAAGCTTGCTCATGCATGAGAGATTCAAGGTATCATCGAAAGTGGTGGTGTCCTCTAACTAGACATTTGGCCTTTCAATATAATCAGGTTCCTTTCCACATATCCAAGGTAATTCAAAATGACGGTGAACAAGGTTAAACAAACAACATATTTGTAATCTGAGTTCCAAACATAGCCAGCCAAATCCCTTACTGGCCTTCTGCAAACATACGTCTAAAAAGTAATTAACCTTTATGTGCCATTGGACCACATTGCTATATTCGTAATTTGAGTTAAGCATGTAATGGATCCATCAGGTGACATCAACCTCCAGTGGAAGTTTAATCATACTGACATGGACAAAAACCAGCAGTTTGCTCAGACGATAAGTTTATGAATAAAGAGAAGTAATCGGACAAACCAAATACTGAAACATCTCTTTGGAAAGATATCGAGAGCATCGGACACTGTAACCACTTCGAACACAAAGACTAAGTCGAAGTTATTTCACGTATTGCGACCACAATTTTTCACCCCTAATGCATGAAAACCGGATTCCTTTGCTGAATCAACAACATAGACCACAAGGATTTCAGATCCAATTACCTAACCGGAGCCGACAATGATGTTGTTGATCGGGATAAAGATCAGCTTGACGAAGAACCCGACGAATCCCATCACCACGAACCCGATCGCCGTGCGGACCGCCACCTTCGAGAACTCTGCAATCCCGACCCGGCCGATCCAAACGAATAGCGCAAGTTTTAGGGAAAAAGACAAAGATCCAAGAGACAGGAAGCATTCGATCGAGCAAATCGACCGAATCGAGCGGAGAAACGATCTGACATGAGAAATGGGAGCGTCTTACCCTTGCGATCGGGCTTGTGGCAGCGCTTGACGAGGCGGACGCTGTCCTTGGCGAACTCCCTCAAGGGATCGACTGCGGAGTCCAAGGCATCCATGTCGATCGCAGATAGCAAAACCCTAAGCTCGGGATCGAGATCGAGATCGAGATCGAGATCGAGCACTCGGCAAGCAAAGTTGGAAGAACACATTCCCCCCAGGTCTTATACTGCCGTGCTCCAACTTTTGATCTGAATCGTCCGATATGAGACATTACATTGAATCAACGTTCCTATGATCCTACCACCATATTGGAATGACGCGTCCACTACGCTTCGAGATGCGTGAAACTTTTGATGGGTGATCCTGTGACCTACTCCTGGGTCAATGGACGGTCGGATTCTCGCGATAAATGAAGTCAAAACTCAAATCCGCCAATGACTTTAAACACAATTTTTAGTGACACTTTTTTCTCTATTTGTTAAATTAATTTTTTTCATAATAAACTAAATAAAAGATGAACTCAATGCACATGTTTTATATTTAAAGAGGTATTTTCGAAACTTAGACGAGAAAAAAATATTATTAACGTCTTAGTTAGCTCGACGAGATCCAGACTCGTATGCGTAGGATTATCCGAAGTGTTTCATAGGTAAAAATGTCAAGCACCCGAGGTATCACCTACACAAAAATAGAAGTCAAAAGAAGTTTCCTAACTTGATCCCTCTACCGTCTAAGTTACTAATACAATATGTATAAATGCGAACGCTAATAGTAAAAAAAGATAAGCCCCTCCCCTTCTATTAAAAACGGGCTTTTTTACTTAGTCATAAATAGATAAAATATTTTATAAAATATTTTACAATGTGATAGCATGTAACCACCTCCAATAGTCTTCCCTTGGCCTTTTGTCCACGTGGACAACAAATGGTGGATAGCCCATAATCATTTACCTTGAACCTTTATCCATATGGGCAAGCAATTAGAAGGTATCCTCCATCTTTTCTTTTCATCATGAGCCTCACATGATCGTTACGTGTCGGATGATGATTATCTATACTCCCTATCACTTGTCCCCTCTTCCAAGACATGTTTCATGACTTTTACGAGCGGAGTATGAAATGACATCTAATTTATCAAGCACGTCAAACTTATATCTCTTCAATCTATTAATAACCTAGTAGCACGTTTAGCTTATTTGACACGTATAGTCACACCTTTGTGTCATCGAGGGATGCATATTGGTTGAATGAGATTGGGTTTCTTGACTTCCTTCTATCTTTTTGACCCCCATGATTCAATGGATGTAGGAGTCAACCTTCTCGACCTCTCCGTCCATGGCAAAGGAGGGGGTCAAGCTTCCAAATCCCCTCGCCTTGGGTGAAGGCAAAGGTTGAATTTTTTGACCTGGCACCTTGGGATTCTTTGACTTATGTATCTTATAGTGGTGGGTTTCTTTTGAAGCAGGTCGAGTTTTCTTAACTCGTAAGCTTTGGGCATATTTTGTCTTGTGCCTCCCATCATGGCTAGTTTTGTGTTACACGGGTTAGATTTTTTCGACTTACATGTCTCGAGCATATTTTATCTTGTGCCTCCCATTATAGCGGGTTTCTTCTTATGTGTGTCAGGTTTTCTCGACTTGCATGTCTCGGGTATATTTTATCTTGTACCTCCTATCGTAATGGGTTTCTTCTGACGCGGGTTGAATTTTTGACTTTTGCACCTCAGGCACATTTTGTTTTGTGCCTTTCGTCATGACAGGTTTCTTCTAACGAGGGTTAGTTTTCTCAATTTGCATACCTCAGGTATATTTTATATTATGCCTCCCACCATGACGAGTTTCTTCTGACATGAGTCGAACTTCTTGACCTCGACACATCAGGTATATTTTATCTTGTGCATCCCACCATAGTGGTTTTTTTTTTAAGTAGGTCGAGTTTTCGACTCACATGTTTTAGGCATATTTTGTCTTATATCTCTCATCATGACAAGTTTTCTTTAATGTGGGTTAGGTTTTCCCAACTCATACATTTATGTTTTTCAATATATTCTTTACACATCAATTGCTTGCATGCTTTTTGAGATAGTTTTCGTACATCAATCAGTTATGTGGCTTTTGAGACGGTCTTTGTATATTGATTATTTGCATGCTTTCTAAAATGCCCCTTCATCAATTGATATCCCTTTGGAATCAACCCCAAGAGATACTTTGTCATCATCATAGGTGGATAGAGATTAATCACCTCCCTATAAATCCCCCTTGAGCATTGGAGGGTTGAGGCTAGCTTTGTGTCTTTTTGGGCATATCGGTTCAACAACACCTCGGTCTTTAGCATCTCGCTCTTTTACCTTTGTATCAGTAGGTGGGATGTCTTTCCATTGTTACACCAGTTTCTCTCAATCTCATGATCATCAGTCGATCGAGGAGGTAAATACTTCATCCTTAGACAACCCAAGGGCGGGGAAGTCCTGACCTCCCCCTCTTTATAAGAGTTAATTCTCATAAACTCTAAGATTGTATGGGTCTTAGAATCTATGAAAAGTATGTATGATAAAGACTCAGTGGCGAGTGTATAACTCATGAATCACTTACGGATCTAAGTACTTTATAAGAGTTATTCCAAGAGAATGGTCTTTTAATGGATTTTGAGTAGATTTACTGTAGTTGGTGTTGATGGAGATATTACCCATGTAGTTTTCTCGTGCTAATTTTCGGACACGGAAATAGGGCGATTAAGCAGGGAATAAGCAAATAGAGAAGCAAGCAAAAAACCCAAATTGCATGACCAAAGCATGCAGGAGAGAAAAAGCCAGTCTTGCTGGCTTTCATTCACATCCAAAGAAGCTGATTGCTGCAGGAGGATACGTAATGGTTTATGAGAATTGGCTGATACTAAGGTGCACAGCATTCCATTGAGTTGCAGGGAAGCTGATGATGCCCATTGTTAACACTGTTAATTGAAAGAAATAGGTTCTTTACATGACTTCACCAAGAAAATCTATTAGCTGTAGCAGCACACTTACATCTTTGTAAATGATCACACATAGAATAAAAAATTAGAGATGGAATAGATCATTAGTTACCACCATCATGGGCCTTAACCAGTCATTAGCATATGCCACCAGCTTCACTTGTATCAACAGTATGTTGGGAGCCAACACCTGCAGTACTCAAAGCCATTTAAAATCCTGGAAACAGAAGAAAAAGTTGATGCATCATGTTGTGGAGCTTTCTGCCACTTTAGCCAAAGATTTGTTTGTGATAAAGATGATCACTGGGCAAAATCTATCAAGTTCAATCATTTTGAAGAGAAGCTCATTAGTTGTTACTGTTGATAACTAATTTTTGAAGGTTTAGTGATGAGATTAGGTCAAATAGTTTACTTTCTACAACAGTAGCAACATTAACAGTAGAAGTTGGTTCTCTCCTTTAATTCTTGCTAATCCTTATCATACTAACAGTAGCATGAATGTTGATGCCTTCTAATCATGATTTAGATGAGTTTCTATGCTCTAAAACAATGTCTAGATGTCAAATAACATGAGAATTAATCTTGGAATAGCTCCAAAAGCACCATGTGAATCTCTACATGCACATGGAATTCTGCATAGTGCTGGATTTGTTGGTCAGTAAGTGTATGAGATGCCATAGAGGAAGCATGACACTGTAAAACTTTTGGTCTGAGTGAACAACCAAAGTATGTAAAGGAGCAAACAGATTACATGTAAAATATCCTTTATGAGAAAGAATAAGGGAAATAAATGATACAAGTCATTCTTCCAAAACATTAAAAAAGGGACACACCCAACATATTTTCTGAAAAATTGGAGTTCTTGATATTCTAAACATAAAACCATCTGAGATTGTCTTGGTACATTGACAGACATCCCAGCCAAGTAGGAGGGGTTACTGCAGCCTTGACTCCACTACAGCACTGGTAGAGTTCTTGCACTGTCCAAAGAACTAGAGCTGAAAACACCACTCAAGCTTCAACTTCTCCAGCTTAAAACAAGGGGAAGTCACATGTGATGCAGGAAAACCTACACACAGACACCATGTGGTGGGATGGCCCAACATGTTGACTTAGCTTCCTTGGATGTGCATCTTAGAGCTGGTTTTTTTCTTCCCAGGCCATGTCATTTCTGCTAGCTGAAGCAGTCTGGTATTGCTCCCACATGGATCAGTTATCATGTAGTACACCAACAACCAAACAGGTGGGGAGTAATTAGTGCATGGTACCATCCATATCACAAAAAGAGATGTCTGATATTAATGTGAGGTTGCTGATCAACTCTTGATGTCTCCTGCCACTCTCTCATTCTCTCTCTCCTCAGTTGAGATGTCATCTGGAAGAGCATGGGAGATAGATGCACATGCGTCTTGTCTTGGTATTGCCTACCCTCATAAACCACCTACTTGTCCTCTCCTTCCTGTTGTGAAATCTCTTTCTCTCTCTCTATATCCTGTTGTGATCCCTCTGCCTTCAGTTTCTGGCAGTATATGCACTGGAAAAATAATTACTTTCTGGTATATCCACAATTACATAAGAATGACAGATGGTTCAGTGTCTTTCTTACCAGTGAATCAAACCAACACAGAATGGTTAACTTGCATTTGTCCTCTTCATTTGTTTTAGAAGCTTGCTATTGAATGACTAGATCATTTGGTATAATCCAAGGGATAGATTCTCATTCCTGTAAACAAAGATACCTCCTGAGCACTTTTGATGCACTAAAAGAAATCCTGCAGATACAGCATTGCAGGTACAAGAATTAATATATAATCCAATTGTTATGAACAAGTAGCCATTATTGAAAGAAGATATTCTGGAATATGTGTGTATGTGCATTTGTGATTGATATTTCTCCCATACTGTAGGTTTAGATTCTTCCATATATGCACGGAGGATTTGAATGACCGGATAGATTTGTCAGCAAGTTCACAAGCAGTCTTCCATGTATCAAGGGTTGCCCATGTTCATGCCCACTAACCTTGAATAGGCTCCATCAGTGTCTTGAAAGCGAAGCTGGACTTGCCCATCTGTCACAAGTGAATACAGCAAGTGCTGCAGATGACCTTTGCCTTTGCACATCCTTAAATGATGATGATAAAGCTGACCCTTGTCCCTGTTTGGACCTGAAAGGTTCAACCAGATCCTAATATCATGCAGCTAACGTTATATTCATCTTTTGGATAACAAGACATGATGATGACAAGCAAGAACATAACAAAGAGCAGACAGGAACCAGTTGATGTAGTTCAAAAAAGGGCAGGGTAAACCTAGTTAATATAAAGCCAACCTTGAAAATTTTGAGCTTATATCTAGTTTTGAGTATTTCAAGATTCTGAAACCAGATTCCGTCAATTGCCTTTTCTCTAAAGACTCAGAGGTAAATAGACAGCAGACAGAGGAGCAAACTCCCTATCAAGGCTCTTCTCACCCTTCTCTCCTGGAACTGGTACACTATTGTCATCAAGCCCCAAGATGCTTTGCATGTTCATAATCAACCTTGAGCTCTTTCAAAGGAGTTGGATTAGTCTGTTCCAGAGGAATTTTGAACAGAATGTATCCTAGGTTATGCAAGAGAACCATTCTTAAAAAATTGACATGGATCCGATTGTTAACAGGAAGATTATGCAGAAAAAAAATTTGATATGAGGGTTACTATCAAGACTTTGTTACAAGTGTCTTGTGATGAGTAGCATGTCACCACCTCATTCCCAGTGACAGCCTACTCCAGCTTTGTCAAACTATCTACATATATATTTTGCAACATTATATAACATGAGAAGGTGCATTGTTCAACTTCAGGATTATGTAGCTTTGTTCATCTCAGAGTAGGTTGTCCAACAAGGAACAAAAATTGGATTGGATATCCTCTTTTAATTCAGATATGGAATTCATAAGGACTCCTATTTTGGGAATATGATCTTTCCACTAGTAATTTTGTGTATGTAGGAGCTGTAAGCTTTTCATTCAATATCTTAAGAATCAAAGTCTAATTACTATTCTAGTATCACAAAGATCTCAGTAAAATTATTTTAACTCTGATAAAAAGGTCAAAGTGGGGTCAGGAAACAGGGCATTCATATCAAAGTCGACTTTTTTTTTTCTTTCGAAAAACAGATAAAATGTTTTAGTTCTATAGTATCCTGAAGACCCTGTTGCATAATGATTATAGTCTGATAATATATACTGACATCATGACGTTAGTTATCATACATTATATTCTATCAGTAAGCAATATAGTCACTGTTGCATTTTTTTCACAACACACAAAAAATCTATGTAAAATCAGTATGTACCTTCCCCCTCCTTGACCCAAAAACCAAACACAAAAAAGAAAAGGCACCTCAGAAATAATGAGTATCTTCCCCACTTGGCCACTAAGTTAACCTGGGTGGTCCCAAAATGGGGGCAGATTGACCATTTAGAAGTAAGAATGACAGAGCCCACATGCTCTGATTTCTACTAATAGTTATAGGTCAGCTTACAAATAGTGATCTAGGAAGTTCCAAGGACTACTATCAGTTGTCCTGATAAGCTTTGCATGGTTTAGAAGGCTAACAGTTGTTCCCAAATGCCACAGTGAAATCACCTTTTCATGTCTATTTATACTCGATCCAACTTCCCTAAATCTCATCAACTTTCTCTTGCATGGCTAGGTCATCAACAATAGGAGTTCCCTCAACTTCCCTCAGAAGGAGAACCAGAGGCACAACTCACCATGTTCAACCTTTGGTGACAAGGAAACTTAGGAAGCTCAAGAAGATCATCCCAGGATGCGAAGAAGCTGGGTTAGAAGAACTGCTTCAGAGAACTGCTGAGTATATTTCTTTCCTAGAGCTGCATGTAATTATTCTGGAGAGAATATCAAACCTTCATGGTGCTTCAGGCTATGGCTTGTCTTAAGCCATATCCTGATCCAGGCTTTGATGGTCAAAAATAGAAAGTAAGTATATTTTCTGCTGTAAGTCCTACTAGCATTTCTCATAAGATATTTGGCAAGATTATCTCATTGTATCTCCTCAATTTCCTTGATCATCATAGTTTCTTCCCAGGATCACTTGCAATGATTAAACTCAATCATGCAGCTAAGGAGAAACATTTCAATGGAAGAAAGTTCATTTCCTTTTTTTAAAGGCTCCATATCTTTGAGATGAGGATGATCACTCTGGCTATCTTTTTCTGGATGCTTTTATACTCCTGCACCTAATGTAAATAAACTCCACCTCAAACCATGATTTAGAGGTGATTGCAATTATCGATTGCAAGGCTTAATCAGTGGGATATGGCCAGCTGATGCATAAGTAGCTCTCTTTTGTCAATCTTAGACTTTGCCCTCCAGCACCAAATTGACAAGAAGAGAGAGTGTTACTCTTCTGAATTTTCCTAATTGTTGTCATATGTCTAAGCCTTCAGAGTTAGAACGTTGATGCAAGCAATAAATGTGCTATTATGTTAAACTATTTCCTGATCAACTATAAAAATAATTAGTCTGATTGACAAAGGATGTCTAGCAGATGCAATGCAATTTAACACTTATATTTGTCATAATATCTACATGTGAGGCGGTCAACAAAATCTTGAGCCATATATAGAAAAGCTAAGAATCAACCATCCGGTATTAGAAATGCACGTTTGATTTAACACCTATTGAGACAACTCTTATGTGATTGATGAGACTGAAGCGAAGATGTTGTTTGCCAAGAGAAAAGATATGTGCAAGTGTGATCCATCAGAGAGACAAGAAACAGTGACAGTGTTGGTAAGAATCATCACTTACCAATCTTTCACCTGAAAAAAAAAAAAGATCTTAGTCAACTGAACTTACTACATATGACCTCAGTTCCCTCAGAGTTTGTAGTTGGCAAAAGTTCAAGATTTTCCCCTCTTTTTTCGGTTGAATAATGCAATGCTCATTTGTACATTAACCAGTCTGGTGCCTGTGCAGATCTGGTCTTGCATCAGAGAATTCCACTAATATTGACTAAGATAGCATCACCCTAAATAGCACATCAAGCATAGCCGCTCAGTTAATTGATACAGTTTCAATTCTAGTATGAACAATTGGCTGTCCGTGGGTAAATCGGAAGTTGCTCAATAAAATATTGAACAAAACTCGTTAACTGAATTGTGAATTATTTAAGATAAATTTGAGTTGGAAGGAAGAAAAAAGGCTATCAAACATTTATGTCCCTATCAGTTGCTTAAAAGGCAAAATCATCGAGAAGGTCATTACTAGAAATATATACTTTGGTTTTGGATATTGGAGCATAGTAAAGAAAATTAAATGATGTGATATAAGCACAACATATGCACAAATCATAAGATAATTAGAAAAGAATAACTGAACAATCAACTTATTGAATAAACGACGTAAGAATCATGATATGACGAACTGAATTTATTTACTAATATTTATAGAAAACATATACATAGCATATTATATTAAACTTCGATTCAGATGATAGTTATCAGGAAGTGCATATCCATCCAAGATTAAGCAAAAAAATGAGGACAAAAAAGATCCTCTGAAATTCAAATATTAGAACAATATATGTTCAGATCATGCTGTATTTTACATCTTTCCTCGAAACTAAACAAGTCAGAAAACCATGTCCATCAAGCATGATTTCTGAATTCTGCTGCTTTTGATTGTCATATTTAAGAAGGAGAAGAGAAAGGGAAAGCAGCACAGCATAATTCCATCAACCTCAATCAGAAAGGAGAACCCAAAATTTTGAGTTTCTGTGATTTATGTGGCCAAATGTTTCTTTGTTACAGTCTTCATTCTATAGGCGACAGGGTGTAAATGCATGTGGTGTGCCTTTTGACACAAGGACCTCTCTTCCTGAAGAAAAAGGATTCTCATTGCATCCCTTTCGTTGAGTTCATCTTTTTCTCAAGTCCTCCAAGTCCCTTTCCCTCTAATGGTATCCTAAATTTGCAACATCCTACTACAAATTTGATTCTTCTAGTAGTTCTTAGATTCCTAGGTGAACATGCGAAACCAAGAAAGTAGAACTCCATTCATCAACAAACATCATTTCCCGTCTGCCAAACAAATTGTATCAGGTTGACAAACTGGGGTTCTCGTGATCATCTAAATGAATCCAAACTTTGTTAATCCTCCTCGAACTCATCAAAATGACCAGCAATAAAGTATATATGCATGAAAAATATATTTAGATTGCAGATTTAAAACCTCTTTCCTGCTTGCTATTTGCACTGCAGTAATCCCTCTTGCCACATTGATCTCACAACATAAAGTTCTTCCCATGATAAAACTAGAACATCTAACTAGCAAACATATGAACACCTAATAAAGACAGATTATTACTCAACAAATTCAAATAAAGGTCGAATTTTTAAAGCACGGACACAGGCCTACCAAGAAAAATATCTGAACGTGCGCATGGAATCGGCGTAATCCTCGAAGAAGGCAATGAATCGGAAAGCGGGTCGATGTGGTTCGCCATCACCTTCGAATCATCCGGCTTCCTTCTAACTCATCCTCTTCTTGGCCCAATCAATCCTCTCTTCATCGTCTTGTCGATCTCCAAAACCCTAATTCATGGGCCATAACTCGGAATGATCTCGCCATCAACCCTACTTTAATTTACATTGTTGGGCCGGACGGCCCAATTTCATCGGTTTGGACGATCACTATCAAACCCAAACTCATCTGCCAGCGATTGGCTTGCAGACCGAGTTCAATGAGTTATGCCCGACCATAAATGATGTGATTTGGAATGCAGTTAATTCCCACCGAACTCCCATGCTTGAGCTCCATGGCAGCTTTTGCACCATGGAGACAGCGTTACTGCCAAGTGAAAGATGACGACGGTAGGTTTCATGATTGGATGGAGAATATATTTCCTTATCGATGATACGATCTTTGCCCCCCTCGCCTTGTCATCCACATAAATGCGCATTCAACGATACCATCTTTTTCGATGGGTGGAATGTCAAATCAAACCTCTGCTACACGCCGGCGAATAGCAGAGCATCTGCCATCCAACATGAACAGTGACAGATAGCCCGATCCCAAAGGATTAAGACAGAATAGATTTCCTTTCTTAACATTATTAGATAATTGGCCCTCGGGGCCTTAATCACATCACAGTAATTTCATCACGACACGAGCTTTGGAGCAAGCAAGCAAGACAAGTATTCGAATCCTTTTTCCCAGTGGAATCACCACCGCAATCGATAGGTACATGCAATGTGGGCAAACGCTTCGGCTGAAGCGACCAAGAAGGCGAGCGTGGGTGTATCAGACGGGCGTGAGGCCATGCTTGAGCGCAGCTCGCCACACGACGTCGATGCGGTCGACGTCGATGGCGCCGACCTCGTGATGCGTCCAACCTTCCAGTAAGTGCACCACCCCGCCGGCATGGCACGCGTGGACGATCCCTCGCTCCAGTGTGTACTGTTCCCTCGCCGCAACAGCAGCAGTGATTAGTATGATGCTCGGACACTGTGAAGCGATGACGAGAAGCAGGGGACCTTACCTCACACATTCCCAGTCCTTGCACGTCCTGCGGCAGCCTCATGGCGGCCAGTTTGCCGTAGGTGCAGTCCCTCCGGAAGCTGATGATCGGGGGGACGACGAACTGGTGGAAGTGCGTGCCCGGCGGCGCGCACCGCTGCTCCCTCAGCGAGATCCACTTCCCCACGATCCATGTCTGGAGACCCAAGCGAACGAGAGATATCAGTGTGGAGTTTGCAGGCCGCCCGCCTGAGACCGGCATGAGCGAACATTACCTTGCAGTTCTGCCCTGCTTGATACTTGGTGACCTGAACGAGGTACTCCTGGCACTCCACCGGGGCTTCCTTTTGGATCTTTTGGAATCGTTCGGTGGAGAGAGTTAGCATCTGTCAGGAAGAGAGGGGACGATGTTGACGATGGTGCTCGCTTCTTAGCTGTGAACGAAGAAGGAGATGAGCTTACCAAGACACGGACTCTCTTCCGGCACAGGTATAATGCGATGGCTCGACTCAGCTTCGACGTCGCGCCGGTCAAGAAGACCTCGGGGACGTTTAAAGGGATCTCGTTGAGGATGACGGCGGCGGTCAAGGTGTTGCCGTGGACTACTCGAACTCGGAGGTCGGGGTGTTTGTTCACGAACAGTGTCCCTCCGCCATTGAGCGATTCATTCTGCAAGAGAGTCATTAATCATATTCCAACAGTGTTTATACATCAAAAGTAAATCACATTTCTTTGTCGATTTACTAAGGACAAACCCAAACATATGTTCCTCCACATCGGGAATGCTCTCAAGTGGGAACTCTGAATCGGGAATCTGCTCAACATCTAAGTGGGAAGAACAGGAAGTCTACCTTATTTAATGCTGCAAGACTGAGAACCTTGACCCCCAACCTATCGGCTCTCAAGATGGCCTGCTCGATCTGATCGTTGATGCCATCCGTAGCAAAGGGGAGGAAGTACTGCAAAGAACAGATGCAACCACAGTTCAGATCGAGGAGACTCCACAGGTGTGTGTACCACAAATGAAGCTCACATGGAATCCCCATCTCGGAACCACCCATAGCTGGTGCAGTCGCCCCCTCAAGGTGTAGAAGGAGAGCAAGAACGTCTTGGACGACGCCCACATGATGAGCATGGTCACGAACGCACCTGGCCACAACAAAAGCATGTGGGGTTTGGTGCAGAACGGGAGGGCGCTGAAGCTGCGGAAGACGAACGGCACATGCAACGACGACATGACGTCCACCACATGCGCCAGGAAGACGAAGTCAGGCACCTGCTCGTTCTTTCCTGCATGCATCATCTCGATGAGCTCACTTCACTCGGTAAAAATCTGAACTGCGTCAGTAACTTTGACATCCGTACGGGTTTACAAGTCTTAGAATATGAAGTCTGCTCGGCAGACATAATAATAGTCCATTGGAAGGACCAAAATAGTTGAAGGTGACAACTACCAGTACACATAATGAAAACTTCTAACAAGATAATTAGATGTCTTGGATCTGAGTTAGGTTCAGTGTCGAAAATATTTGGACCTGTCACTGTCAACAATGATGAAGACATGGAAATGATGGACCCCAAAACCAAGAAAATACCCACAGCTTAACAATCAGTAAATAAATGCAGGAAGCAAGAACAAGATGAGCTACAATTTGGTAATTAGCAGTGGTGTGACATCTCTCCATTTGTAGGTGATCTATTATGGATGTCCTTCAACTAACCTGCTTAAATTATACTACGTGGATCAGCTCTGATATCTGAGTTCTTTTTCTTATAGATGTTACAGGTCTGAATCTGGCTTTGATGTTGTCTTCTACCTCTCACAGATGCCAACATTAGCTACAATATGTGAAAGCATGCCTGAGCTTATGACCTTTTGTGGCTCCCATGACTTGGTCATCCAATGTTCCACCCAGTAGATACAAATAAACAATATGCGAAAGCATACCTGAGCTTATCTCCTTCTGCAGCTCCCATGACTTGTCATCCAATGTCCCACCCAGTAGATCGAAGAGAGGCATGAAAAGGCAGAAGTTGGATTTCTTTTCCATGCGATGGAGGCTATGGTACCTGCACATGTAAAACCATTATGTGCCCATCCTTTTAACCTAAGCAGTATTAAAGCAAACTAGCGGAAGAGCTGCCATTAATGCATTATAAGATAGCAAACAGCATCCCGATTTCCATGAATGTACGTCCAACAACCTAACAAGATTAGAAAGAAGCCTTAATACTATCACTAGAGGGGTAGACTTGAATGCAGCCCAACAAAATGATAACAAGGAAGAAGATATAAATGCAATAATGGCATACCAAACCCAGCTAAGAACTTGAAGCCACAGCTAAAGCTTGTCCTACCATAATATATGTCCATATCATCGAGGCATTTAAGAGAGAAAGCCGAGTGGTTCGGTCACTTGGATAACCATGCAACCAAATCTAAAGGTGTGGCAGAGCATGATCACTCACGTTGGCGTGTAAATGAGGTATCTCAACAAAGGCAGAGACTGGAATAACCCATGCGGGAAGATCTCGACGTTGCTGTGCCCCATGCACCTTAGGAAATCAAACAGCAACACGTAGCCATATATGAGCCCAGCAGAGCCACGTCCAACCAAGCAGGCTCCGAGAAGAGGGACTCCCATGACCACACACAGGATGAGGTGCTCCAAAGGCGTGGCAAATCCAGCTGAAAACAGAACAGATCATCAGCTTGTAATTCATCGTGCATGGATTGTCCGAAAAGCGAGAAGAGATGCGTGCTGTGTTACCTGTGAAGGACTGAGGCACCTGAGAAGAGTGATGCAGAGAATGATAGTTCTGGAAGAGGTGAGGCCTGTGAAGAACCCTGTGCAAGCAGTAGAACACCGGCTCTGAGAACACCACATGGAGGAGGAGAGCTGTAAGGAGTCCCATCAGGTCCCACCGAGGGAGGCTCTGCAGAGATGGAAAGATGAGACAAGCCAGGGCTCCAATCATACACTGCAGTATCAGGAAGTTGTCCCTGTAAACAAAGCTCAGTTCGTCAGGCAGCCATCCAGTATAACTCGACAGTGGCTGCATGTCACGAATCTGCCATCCGAGCGTACCAGTGCCACTCCTGGTCGATTTGCTTGAAGTCAACGCCATCCTTGAAGATCCGGCGCCGACGAACGAGGAAGAGCATGTTGCCGAAGGAGTACCAGAGCTGGTACATGAGCCCCCTGAGTGCAAACAGTATCATCAGATGGAGGCACCATCGCCCTTCCTTGCTTTCCTCCTCCCATGGCCTCGAGCTGATCACCTTGGCTATAATTGGACCATAAAGAAGATACTGCACTGACATCAAAAATGATGTAAAGAACACACAAATAAACATATATTTATATTTATATGTATATATATATATATATATATATATATATATATATATATATATATATATATA